ACTGATTGTGGAAAAATCAACAGAATGTATGAGAACTGAGTTAGCTAGCTAATTTATTAACAGGAAAACTACTCTAATGAGGCATTGATGATAAAAGTTAAGAGGCTGAACGCTGCCCTTGCTGAAGCGAATTGCAAGAATCGGATTACTTCTTTTTGTACTTCACCACACCGGATAAACAGCCGGCGCTGGGGAAACGGAGAACGGACAAAGAGGATAGAGCAGACAGAGGACACTGCAGGAGAGGAAAAAGGGAGAAAAATAATGCCACTTTGGTAAAAGGCGTGACAAGCTAACTCAAAATTAGCAAAAAATTTACAGTTTCACTTTAGCTGCTCAAATGAAACTAATTTAGCCTCCGAGAACTAAAAGTTCAGTTCCAATCATCCGAAAATTAAAGCTCGCTAGCAAAAGAACGAAGTTTCCTCATTTCATCTTATCTTTTCCTCATTCACTTATCAAACGGCCTGAACGACCCACAAGCAACTAAAAACATATGCACAGGCGATTCATCCACAAATCATATAAGTAGTAAAACAAATTACACTATTGCTTAACGAGGCCATTCAATCGCCTCATGAGATGGTGGCGCAGGAAGAATGTTACCAATGAATAAAATAACAGGCCAGGGTATTTTGTAAGTGCCGACATTCCGTGCTAGAAATAGAGGAAAAGAGCATTTGGCACAGATCCATGTTATAATTTCAGGCATTCAGGCCTTCACACAAATTTTGATTATCGGTAAACTTTAGACCACCGCTTCTAAAATGTCAATGAAGCGCTAAAGCTTATCAGTTAGCTTGGAGGAGATGGTGGTGGTACAGATGAGTAAGCTTTTGTTGTCATAGCTGCACTCGCTGCTGCTGAGTTTACTGCACTAGCAGCAGGTCCACGATAATCTGAAGTACCAACACTAGTGCCAGCTGTGACTGCACCGCCGCGACAATCGCCACTGATCAGCAGCTGTTCAAATGCCTGTTCTAACAACTGACGTGCTGAGAAGTCCTGCAAAATTATCGCCATTTGTGCTTTTGGACTGAACATGTAATCACTGGGATACGTATGCTAAAAGCATTGATGAATATCCACCTGTGGCGGTATCTGCAGTGACAAAGCGAGGCTCTGAGCATCGAATGTATGATCAAGAGCAATGAGAGCACCGTGTACACCACTATCTCGTAACTGAGATGCATAAGCGCCAAGGCCAATTTCCTCAACCCAGCGTGCTACTCGATCATTAGTCCACACCAACACGTCTGAAAAAAAAACGAGTGTTTTCAACGACAATAAACGACATCAGCCCATAGGCTGGAATGTTTTCCTCACACAAAACACCACCAACGATTTGTCTTGCCAGTGAACCAATAATCGCCGAACTGGCTAGCTCCTTGCAACGCTGCACAGAATAATAATCTTTCAAGCAGTACTCATTCAACAGATCACAATGTGAGGCTCTGAGAACGAAAACTAACGCCCACCTCGATTCACATTTTCGCAAGCTTTTCGCCTTTCCATCAGTATTTTCTTATCATAACTGAGCTTTTTTAAGCACATAATTCCATACTGTAAGCTGGCTCTGCAATGCAACCAATCACTAATCAGCGGCAAATAATTCATTACGGGCATACGTGAGAACTTTTCTCTGGGAACCAGGCTGCAACCAGTCACTTATCTCGAAAATATATATGCTGTTTCTGCTTCGACAAAAACGTCTTGCGCAAAAATGCATACGAATACAGGAACTTCTACAGCACTTTAATTCTTTTTGCTAGACAGCCGAGACAGATCGATGTAAATTTTCGAGAACAACTAGGAAAAAACGTAGCTGCAAATCCATAAAAAATGAACAAGAATTTTGAGAAACAAAACAAGCATAGCATACCGATGAAAGTTGTCAAGCATTTTCAAATGCGTCCTCAGGTCGCGCTTCGACAGGTGCTCCAACATCCGCGCATCCAGTAAACATTCCATAAATGTGGGCCGATACTGTGCCAAGCCTTCAAAATACCGAGCAATTAGACTCAATTAATGTCATTTTTCCTGCGAAACCAGAAGAGAAACAACGCATTTGATAGTGATATTCTAGAATTATCTACATTTCAGTTCAACAACTTGACCGCAACCTGTTTTAACTGAATGGAATGTGGGTGCTGCGTCAGCAAGAAACAAATGGTACCTAGTGACGGCAGCCACTCATTGCCAATCCATTCGTGGTTCATTTCGCCGAATGCTAGGGTGGCACGTGCTGTTCGCGGTGCCGACGGGGATGTCAGCGAGACCATTTCCTGCAATTTCATAAACAAACGGATGCGCACGAATGTCGAGATACTCAAACAACCAAAAGATACATTAGTATCATTCGCACGTAATCTCGTTTGTTGGTCCATTAGTAGTTCTTATTTTATGCAACTTCGCATGAATAATTTATGGAAACAAAGATGCGTTATGGCATGTCACATCTGTATGTAAATCAACTCTAGAACTAGAGGCTCGATTCCAGCTAATTTCATAACGTAATGGGCTAAAAAGTTGAGACATGTAATTTTAACTGAGTAAGGCGAGATGGGCAACTAGCAATTTGTATCCGAACTCCGCGGTTTCCTGATCTATTGGGACCAATGCAAAGAAGGGCTAATTTCATAACTTTAAAACGGAGAAAATTAAGGATCTCAAATTTTACTGCGCTGATTAAAAGTGGACTGGAACGAAACCCTGTACGTACTTACGTACTAATAGCGCAGCCAATAACTAAGCAACAACAACGGCTTATAACAAAAAGCATACCGCGCTGGTCCTCTTATGTACGCCACTAAAATAAAGTTTATTGATAGAATTCGAAGTGGCCGTTGTGAAGCGATAAAAATCACCATGTGTGCGCTATACATATAGGCTTCACAAAGTTTTGAACTCCAGCAACTCCGTGCTCACTTACTTGTATTGCTAATCGTAGTTTTAGCCTATGCAATGGGTTTGAGATGCCAATTTCACGCTGAATCTCCTGGTCGGACAACGCACTCATAATCGCACCGCTTTTTACGTTTGCACGACAGGCTGCCACATACCTGAAAATAATAGCCAATCAATAATTTTCTTATCGCAATCACTGCTATATCATTTGCATAAAACTTAAACGAACCAAGCAGGCATGCCGACCCAAAGTTCCAACCACGCCACAACCGTTGGACCATTCCATAAAGCAAACGGAGTACGAGCTTTCATCGCCTACAACAGGTAAGGAAAGGAAAAAAAATACACGTAATATGGCAAAAAAAGGGGCAGTCTGTGACAAAGCTGAAGCCAGAGGCAGTAAACCGAAAGGTACCTTACGGTTTCTGAACTGGTTTTCTTATAGAACTGGAGTGAATGTGAAATAATTCCAAAAACCGCTAAGTGAAATCGTCCTAAGGTTGAGAAACACGCAAACAGCAGGAAAAATAACGAAAAGTACCTCTTCCAATAACTCATACTTCTTTTTTTTCCGCCGATCAAAATCTGCAGCTGCAGTCGCACCCAGTACTACACCACCGTTCACCGATTTGCCTGTAATTCATTCATTAGCCGGAAAAAAAGCAATTTTCTAAATGGATATGAAGTTAAATCCGACCCAATATTTAATCGCTTAATGCTTTTTCTGTATTCCCTGAAAATAAAACTCCCGAATAAGCGCAGTTTGACGATTATCACCAGTAGTATATTCTTAAAAATATTTCGTCTGTACCCTTTTTGACCGGCAGCGCAGTGATTACAGGGCTATGAGGCACGGTCTATGTAATTCCGAACAACAAAGAAGAATGGAGTTTAAAGCTGTCGCTACGAAAATCTTTCCAACAATACTCTGTTTAAACTGAGAAAAGGAAAATACTGACAGTTCCGAGAGCAACTACTAGCTATTCGTGGATGCAGTATCAGCATATTTACAGCCCAACATATTAACCTATTTTTTACAACGAATATGAGCGAAAACAGATCTATGCTCAGTTTTTCCCTTATTGGCAGTTCAACTGGAATTTACTTTCCGGATTTTGAATTTTCATAAATGCAACAACTAATTCAGTTCCAAAACCCCGTGCCCAATGGCTCAATTCAAAACCTCGGTGCTCACTGGCTCAATTGCGCGCCAAACGTGGTGCATGGTTGCAACAAGGCTATCTTGTTCAGATTTCGATGCGCTTCTTTAAGTGAAACAATTTTTTATTGAAGCTAAAAAATACCTGGTGGGACGGATGACGAAGTAGCGGCACTCGCAGTAATTGCAACACCTTCCACTGATGAAATTTCACTGTCCGAATAACCACCTGAACAGGCAAACAGTATGAAGGATGAAGCAGCAGGGCGATGGTACTGTACAAATATTAATTAGTCGGAAAAAGCAGTGACCAATGGAATGAATAAAAAGACACACCCTGGTCGTACTGTGCCAGCTGTCGCAAACTGCTACTATTTTTGGCCTTCTTGTTGAATAATCGTCCAAGCGTTTTCGCGGCCGTCGATGAGCGCTGCTTTTTGGCACCTGAAAAGCGATGCTTAAATAATGAACCGATAACAAATAAACAAGTTAAAACTGCACTCTAAAAATGACAATACGACGTAAGCGCACATTTGCCAAACGGCAATCAGCACTCAGAACACAAGCATTCTGCATCATGCCTCAAAAACTTCCGCATTTTACAGAAGAAACTCCTCGGAAAAATAACAAACCACAGCAATCAAAATATTCTAGCGGACAGGGAGAGAATTTGACACACATACCTTTGCCACTGGTTGGTACACCATAGACAGGCGACTGATCGTGCTGTGAGGAAGTGATGGATGATGCCGGCGACAGTCGATCCAACAGCATTCCCGGAGGAGCTGGGCCACTGCCATATTCATCATCGAAAAGTGGGCCCTTCAGAAAACAAAAAAGAAATCAGTTCTCGTTAGAAAAGAAAAACGGAATATGCAAAAAACTGAAGTAGCATCACTAGTGCGCGGTAAAACAGAGTGATCGCCGGAGAAAACTCGGAACGAACGGCTTCACCTATCTAGAAATAGCTAAGGAGAAAAAAAGAACATATTTTTCTCAATTATAAATACAAGGCACACAAATTCTATTCTTCTACATGGATAAGTTATATAATTTACCGTGAACGAATGTTGCAGTGGATCAGCTACAGCAGTTGTCGGATATCTTCGGCCACCAGCACAAATACCGTACTCCAAGTTAGCCACACCGTTTGACATATCATCTGTCGCACCAAACTGCAATGTTCCACTCAGCAAAAATGCCGAATCAACGAGGAAACGGCTACATTAACACACTACCTTGCCCGACAATTCGATTAAGAGATGAGGAAAAATAGAAAGCTGAAATTTTTACAATTATACTGTTTGATCACGAAACAAAACCATACTGTGAGCCGGACTTACCTCTGTTTCGACTTCCTATCTTCGTTCAAAGTCCATTTTTATGAATTAGGAACGGGAAAAAAACATTTAGTTACGAAATAATTAGCTCAACACAAGTTTTTAAGCGCTAACGCCCAAATCTCCGACCAAAAGTCTAAATTCTGAGGGATGTTACGAGTCCACAGCGAAGAAAAATGTGCAATCGAAATTTTGCAAAATCCATGTTATAGAAGCAGAATGCTTAAGAAGATTATCAACTAAAAAGACTGCCCTAACCAGTTAAAAAGACTACCCTTCCGACAAAAAAAGGGCGCGCGAAGAAATGAACACGTGGGAGGCGTCTGAAGATAATGGCGCATATACACTGAACAGATGATGAATACTAGACAAAAGGCATGTAAATTAGGACAGTGGAATAAGCACGACTGCGTCCAACCTATGAAAGCATACCAGCAGTACCGCTAACATCGAGTCACAGCACCAACTGCCAAGGCGGTCTTTGTATTCTGGGTTATGTGGAAAAAAAATAACAAGTTAAAATAAGCTGCCAACCTCAGGCAAATTCCAGCCCCTTGAATGAACTGTGCTACATAAGCGAAATCCACAAATGAAAAAAAAAAAAATCGTAAAATGCTAAACATCAAAAAATGAAACAAGCTTCCAGACTCAAAATTTTCGTCGGCTCCGTGAACTTTTTTTTTTTTTCGGGGAGGAGGGGGGGAGGGTTTATCCAATACATGTGGATGAAAAAAATCACTTCGACATGATACAACCATTTTATGCATACCATCGGCGCATCGGTTTACTATGTGCTCACAAAAATTAGTGAAAAAAAAAAAAACCACAGTTATGTGTGTGCCGCTGTTAAAAGTTACCTGATGACTGTAGGAATCAACTAATCCTGCAGCACCACCAGCGCTAGCACCATGTGTATACGACGACGTTGAAGCATTAGCTGGTAACTGAAACAAACGAGAACATAACCAGGAACGTTACCAAACAGATCACTGTTGTCTTCTTATCTTCCACTACTAGACCTCCGAACAGATGAAGTTCCGAAACTACTGGAAACAACGAATAATACGAAAATACAAGAATTTACCGTATTGTACTTGCTGACCAAAAAATCATGCTGTGGTGAATTACGTGGCGTTGATCGTGCTGACAGCGCCTGCTGCTCTTCGCTTGCTGCAACATCAATATCCGTACGGTACTATGAAGCATCTTTTTGTTGATATAACGCAACATATCTCCGAAGAAAAACCGAAAATACGGCAATGTGCCTAAGTGCGAGCAATTATGCCGCTGCTTCTTTCATGGGAGATGCAAGCAGTCAAGTGACTGAACGAGCTTCACTCACAGGAACGAATTAAATTATGGCTTTTAAAATCGAGAGTGTCTTAGAAATGAATCCAGTAACTCACCAGCAGCGGCCGCTGCAGCGGCTGCTGTCGCGCGACTCTCCAACTGCTCGGCAATGCGTTCGGCATGCGTCTTCTCCTGCTGAATCAATCGAATCTCCGAATTTATCGCATTCAACCTGCCGGATTAACTTTCTTTGAGTACAAGTAACAGTGCGCAGCAGCAAAGACCAGTAGCGTTGTTTTCAGCAGGCAAATTTGGCATTACATCACAAAACCGCACTATAGTGCAAAACGAAAACTGATCAAGCAACAGTGAGAGGGAAGAGCATCTTTGTTTGAAAGACAGCTATCGCTAACAGGGCAATTGATCAAGTCACTGAAAATGCAACAAATTATCGCATGGAGCTATGCCCAGCAGCTGTTGTGGCGCATGCAAATTCAAAAATCATTAAAAGACTGCTCGTATCGTTCAACTGTTGCGCACAATTCAACTGCTAGCATTAACAAGCCGTCAAATGGGTTTTGCTTTCTCGTGTGCTCGTGCTCACAAGTAGTAAATTTTGTGACTTTTATAAGGCATTTTTAAGGTCGGCCGCCCTCTCGCCCGTTTGCCAACCTGAATATTATATACGGCGTCTGTTTTCCAGCAAAGTAAACTTGAAAAAAAACACGCCTCCCCCTTATCCCCCCAATAATATCTTTAAAGATGACTATATACCCCCTCAATGCAGATGCGATCGATTCCTTTCTTTGACTTTCTATTCTATTTATTAAGAAATGAGGAAGATTTTAACTACGTACAGCATACAGTAATTGCACCTAGAAACCTCTGCAACTGCTATGAATGAACGGAACACAGAGCCACAAATTCCTGACAAAATAAGACTAGAGATGAATTCCAAAATATCCGCTATGACTGTAAAGATGTGTAAATTCACAAAAAATTTAGGCATTACTAATTAAAGGATTAAAAAAAAAATCGACGTCTTGAGCAATTCAAAGTAACAGTGAGTGCATTCGTGGCTGATACTAAAAAAAAAATGATTTTTGAAGGTTCGACACATCATTACCAGGTAAGCCCTGTAACAAAGCCGTCGTCTTGTATCACAGCCTTTCATGAAGAAAAAAGAAATCAAACTTTGCCACTGATGCAACA